AAACTTTCTAACGTGGCTATAAATGGCGAGGGATCATTACCCCGAAAGAGAAGGGAGATCAACAAGGGAACCTTGGCCCCTGATTCCAAGACAGGTTATATTTGACTCGCTTGGGGTACGCCCTTTTCCTCTCTTCTCCCCTCCGGCTCTACGCGGGTTTATCAAAAAGGAAAGATACTTTTTTGCTATAAAAAACCAAGGGAAAAAAAAAAACAGGAAAAATATGGGGAAGTTCAATTATGATTACCTTCAAGGTGGGGGCTAGTGACTTCTCCAAAATTGGGAGGGGGGTGGTTGACGGCGCATTTCGACCAGAGTTGGGAAGGCTAGAACCAAACTTGACCCTCCAAATTTGGTTTCGGAGTTTGGTTTGGTTGGTTTTGGAGGGCTTCAGACCCTCCTAGCCCCGGCTTCACATCGTCCAGATCGTCGAATCGATGTCCCTTCAACTGTGACTTCAATTTGGGGAACAGGTGGTAGTCACAGGGTGCTAGATCCATGATTAAGGGAATGTGGATCCGTGGTGATTTGTCTTGCCAGGAAATGGCGTATTCTCAGTGAGTTGTGGGAAGGCGCATTGTCATGCTGCCGTTTCCAACTGCCACCTTTTTTCCACCTCTCGGGTGGCTTCCGACGAATAGCGTTGGGGAGACTCGTCATTACTAACTCTTAGGATACGACGGTGACTGTCTAGTGTGAAGGCAGAAATTCTCTATGAATGATGCCCACATGGTCAATTCATACCAGGCAATATACATCATTTTTCAATGACTTCACCAGGGGTCTTTTCTTGGATCTGGGAGAGTCTAGAGCAGTGGTGCCCAACCCGTGGCCCGCAGGCAAAAAGTGGCCCGCGAGGTCCTAACCCACAATAATTACCTTCAGGTTTCCTTAACCCCTTTCCTACGGATGACGTATATATACGCGATTTATTATCTCGATTTTCAAAGTTGTAGAGCTATGATGAAAATCTGTTTTTTTTTTTTTGTTGCTTGGTAATGAAAAGTTGTTTGCTCCAAAATGGTCAGCCTCGCTCACCTTCCTTGACATATGTCACGTGTCACGTTTTGACACTTGACACGTGACATGTCTTGCAAACGTGTTGCACGTTTATTGGCCAACATGTTTGGCTGCTGCGTCAGGGGTTTTGTATATAAATGACTGCATTCTAACTCTGGATTCATTCCTACCGCTTACTTCTGCATCTTCTCATCTACGATTCTGACCACAAACTGATTTTCCGACCCTTGCTTTGACTTACGATTCCAATTTTGACCACGATTNACTCTGGATTCATTCCTACCGCTTACTTCTGCATCTTCTCATCTACGATTCTGACCACAAACTGATTTTCCGACCCTTGCTTTGACTTACGATTCCAATTTTGACCACGATTACATTCTGACCAACTGATACCGACTTTTGCTTTGATTTACGATGATTTACGTTGATTCCATCCATCCTACCAAATTACCTGTTTTTCGTTCTTCATACCTGTTTCTCTGTACCTTCCTACTGATGACGTATATTTACGTCGTGGGACTTAGCGCCTGGCTGAGGCTGGAACAACACCGTCGGGATGCTGGGCTGGCTCAGTCAATCCCGTTGTCAAGGGGTTAAAATAGTCTCCTACAATACTAGTGACTGCATATGGCCCGCGATGGCTGTGGGAGTGAGCTATCTATATGTGGCCCCCTAGCCGATAAGGTTGGGCACCACTGGTTCCATTCCTGGTTCCTGAGGCTTCCATTGCGAACTCTGAATCTTGGTCTCTGGGTCATACACATACTCGTATATCCATGATTCGTCACCTGTTACAATGGAATGCAGGAAGTCCGTTTCTCCATTCGCAGCAGCAAGAAAATCCCGACAGGTTTCCATGCCCAGCTGCTTTTTATCTCGTCTGTCTACTACACCTTGATTTGCCGTCGTCTGTGCCCAGTACGGTTCTTACAGTCGGTATTACCGGGCACGTGACGGCATCCTATAGGGCTGAATACTGCGCTTTCAACTTAGGCTCGGGTTAGCATTCTTAGGATTTTTCCCCCCTATTCCCATGATGTACAATTCCTGTCTGTGGGAGGTCAGTCTACTCGCCTATACAAACTTTCTGGAAGGTGATTCTTATGCATAGTTTCTTTTATCTATGTTTGTCGGTTCGATGCTCATTGATCCTCGATAACCGTCGGAAAATCATTTTTCTTTTTGGTCGGAGCTCGAGGGTTTCGATCCAAAGGTCTTTCATCATTCTAAGGTAAACTCAATCTCACTCTGGATAAGCCTATCTGGGCGCGGAAAGTTGGTGACTTCATGTCCTCGCTTATATGGTAGGCCTGTCGGAATGTTTAAAATCAAACCCTGTCCAAGGAGATTTTATGCGGAGAGGTGACTACGAGGTATTTTTGAAAGGTAGCGGCTGCACTCCGCCAAAAGAAGCCATCTGCAACATCCTTGTAGCACTACTAACATTTAACCTAGTCCAGATGAAGTCAGGGTCAGGGTGCTGTGCCCCCTACGCATGTGGGTGATTTGGCAATGTTCCCCCCCCCCCCCCCCCCCCCCCGATAACAAGGGGGAGGGTACTAGGTGAAGTTGAAGTCCATTGCGGGAAATATGCAGTCACTCACCTCAATCCGCCACTGCCCAATTTTGGTGGCGGGTTCAAACCTGAATCCCACTCTTGTGACTGAGCTAAAAGTAAGCGCACCCTGTGGGTATTGTCACCCTTGGCGTTCACCTATGTCGCAATACCGTAGCAAAAGCTCTAGATGAAGAGGCCCAAGATTGTGTTCTCCGATCGGAAATAAGTTATATAGGCCTCTGCTATGCAAAAGGAACATGTAAAAACCTACTCGTTGAGAAGAGAGATTGATCTTTTGTTCTCATTCACCTTAAAACTTGGTAACTCATTTGTTTTATATGGAATTTGGTAGCAAAAATACTGTTGGCTGACAACAGGTTTCCATTGTGAGAAATAAAACCGATACCCAGATGGGGGCAATGTGGGTCACATCACCCAATCACCCAACATTACTGATCTGATCTCAGTATCAGCTGATGCAGTTTTGTTCAAATGGATCACAGACATATAAATCATGGATAATCTAAATGTACTATTCCTCTTCAACAATATAGCACCTCATAACTAAGTTGGGTCTGTCGTTACGTTTTTAGAGAGGATTAGTAAATTCCCCTATTTATAGAAAGAAGTGTTTATAGGAAGAACTTGCAGTTAAGTAGCCTTTGTATTGGGAGTATCGCTTTCCCAGGGGACTATAACTTACCTAGGTAGATGCATTGCTTGATTCCAATTGGCATTTCTCTTATTGTGTCTAATAACATGAAAGCATCCATTCTTCCTCTCTGTTTTTGGTATAAATAAACATGTATGAACTCTCGAAACTACTTTATCTATTGTGCTTCATGAGGATGCTCTCTTCTCAAATGCAGAGACAACATGAATTCACGTGTGAGTTTAGTGGAAAGTGTTTCAATACTGTATATTCTAGCGATTGTGTTCGCATCTTGAGGTCCATCATTCGTCAGATCTGAACGTCCATGCGACATGTGGGATCAATGGTTGTCCAACTGTTTTCCAAATCACCAACAGTTTATCAAGTCATCGTCGTAGGCGTCACGGAGAGTCATCGTTTCAACTGATGGCTCTCTCGAGTTAGATGTTTTTTTCCGCGTAGGATCTTCAAATGAGTCAGAATTGCTTGAAGTCAGAACCGTATCGAAACCCAGAAAGAGAGAGCATCGAAGATAATGGCGTTTCGAGGGAGACCCTTAGAGACTACATATTTCAATGTAATTTGAAGCTCCGAGAGAAGTACTTGCTTCCTGATGCAATATGCAGGCAAATTGGTGCAGGCGTGCAAGGACTTCTTTGTGCATTCCGAAACCATGTGGGATTTAACCTTCATTAGTCAGGATCACCGATCAATAGTGGATCAAGCACTTCCTTCGCGCGAGGAGATTGAGGATATGTTTATTTGCTTTTGCAGCATCTCTCAGTTTATGCACCTGCTGAAATGTCAATTGCTTTATGCCACTCGCAAAAAGAAAATAATCCTCATTGAAGGCAAAACTGAAGCTCCATTATGCGTCAATTATCGAGACACTAAAACTTCTTGTGAGTGAAGAATATGTGTCCTCAGCCATCGTCAGACACCACTCTGGTGCTTCTTCATCAATGTCATCTTTTTTGTTACGAAGTCATGTTTTCACACTTTAAGTGATGTGGGATTCGTTGGACTTCCCTTGCCCAGTTACGTTCGACTCTTACCTTGCCCAGATAAAGAGTTAAGAGTTTTTACCACCAGACAGTATTCTCTCCTGATATTATGCCTGACTGCTATGAGGGTGTGGTACCATTTATTACAAAATTGAAAGACAAGACGGTCATTCCTGATCGGTATGCTATTGTATCTCAGATTAATGAAGTTATAAAACAAGTATGATGGGGTTGTGATTATCAGTATAAGGCGGAAATCACTAAGAACTCCCTGAAACAGCCATGCAACAGCTTTGCTGGTTCAGCTCATGAGAAATGGTGATTCTTCTCATGTCTGCCCATCTATCTATAGCAGTTGGTACCCTTCAATATTGGCTCCACGTCATTTCACTGCAAGTCACTTCTATGTTAGATAAATGACTGCCGACATTTTACTGCAAACAATTTATTCGTATGCGTCAATTAACTGTACGTCGTTTCACTGTGATACCCTTTTCACTGCATTCACTTTCGCTGCAAAAATTGTCCTAGAAATTATGGATATTGAAATAAAACGGGTTAATAATTGTCACATAAGAGGAAAACCCTCGGGAGAAAATAGGGGGATTGTCAGAATGAGTTCAAAACTGAAGACTCAGCGCGATACCGCGCAAATATGAAAGGACATCCCTTGACTGCCGCTGCTCGACCAAGGTCAGGAGGCGATCATCAGCTGCCTTGTATTTCTTTTTCCGAGGCTGAGGATGGCCAGAGAGTCCCTGCACTACTCGGACCTCCTGGCGTCCCTGAGGACATCCCTTGACTGCCGCTGCTCGACCAAGGTCAGGAGGCGATCATCAGCTGCCTTGTATTTCTTTTTCCGAGGCTGAGGATGGCCAGAGAGTGCCTGCACTACTCGGACCTCCTGGCTTCCCTGCTCCTTAATCAAATACTTCAGAAACTTCCAAAGCGTTGGGTGTGAACATCCCAGACCACCTTGGAATACATTGTGCCAGGCTTCAATGGCATTATTTGTGCGAGGAAGACCTTGCACAATGCGGTCGTGAACGTTCCAAAAACCGATGTCGAACATAGGTTTCGCTCGACCTCTTCTACGAGGGCGTCCAACGTAGGTGTCCTCGAAGTAATTTACTATCGGTTCAGTTACCTCTGGAAGGACTTCGGCGAGATCCTGGAAAGCATCAAGCCGATGTCGAACATAGGTTTCGCTCGACCTCTTCTACGAGGGCGTCCAACGTAGGTGTCCTCGAAGTAATTTACTATCGGTTCAGTTACCTCTGGAAGGACTTCGGCGAGATCCTGGAAAGCATCAGCCACTTCGTCAGAGGGAACAAAAGCCAGTGCTGGTAGCATTTGGAGGTGAATTGAAAGTTGTGGATCAGTCCCGTAGGCAGCCTGAAGGCCTTCGCCTTGCACTTTGCGATACAGAGATTGGCAAAGAAGAAAAAGACAACCTGATTGTGTGACTTCTGGAAAGACCTTTTTAGTGGTATTGATAGAGGCCTTTTCAAAGTCGCTCAGCACTGTTGCAGGATTAAGGTTTGGACGAAGTTCATTTAACTTTTCCATCACTCTCACGTAGTCGTTCTCTGTTTTGGAATGCATGAGAACATAGACAAGAGGAACGACCGTGGCGCTAAAAACCAACGCGTGAATTGTGAAGAGCTGAAAAAATATCGCAGGAACTACTTTGAAGGTACCATCCATGAAGATATGCTGCGAATCCTGTAGGAGGTCAAGATTTCTTTCTGCACAGAAGATCAGAATCCTATTTGAGTCATTCTTGCCGCTATCAAAAAGAAGGAACTTAGTACCCTTGCTTGTCACCTTGAACGCGTCCGGGATCTCGAAACCTATATGAGACTGAGGAAGATCCGGATTATTGCTGTTCTTCTCTCTCTTCCTCTGAATCGTTCTTGAAATGTTCTTCATTGAAGGCAGCTGGGAAGAAGCGACATCATCGAGATTCTGCACATTTTCAGTGATAATCATCCGTGTTGGTGTGACACTGTCGACAGAAGTTTCTTTCATGCGATGAATGGCAGCCTCACTCTCAGCTTTGCCCGGCACAAGACCATGATTGTGATGGCCAACACGAGAAACTATGTCACCAGATGCGATTGAAGAATGAAGTCTCGCTTTGCACCCTTTTGATGAACGATATTCACATATCCAGTATGTTTTGCTTCCAGAACTCCTTTCTTTTACGAATATAAAACCCGTGTCAACTAACTTTGGTTGACGAAGTATGAAAACCTACACCATGACGTACGGGTAGATAACGAACACGCAGGAGTGACTGCACGGAACAAAGGATACAATGAAGAAACTGCAGGGAGAAACTATACTCAAAGCTCGAAACCACTGTCGTTCATACACAGTGGCGGCTCGTGATATTTAGTGCTAGTGGTTCGTCTATGGAGAAGAGCAGAAGAGGTCGCTGCCTACCCCCTCTCCATAGACTGCCTACCCCCTCTCCCTCCCGCCACTGTTCATACAAGACCTAGACTTGCTCTTGGGAATGAATGAATGAATGATTGAAGCAGCGAGATGAGATAAGCAAATGAAAATGGAAAAAGTCGTGCCTGCATGAAAAAGCTCCACGGTGAAAAGGAAAGGGAAGATAGTGAAGATGCATATGCAGTGAAATGACGCACGGCAAAGTAACAACAGTGATAATGATCGCAGTCAAACTGCATACAGAGAAGAGTCGTGCCACGTTCAAATATTGCAGGATATCCTGCTTCGACCATGTACGTATGCTTTCGTGAAGTGCTTTGAAATTGTTCTTGCTTCTTGACACTTACTGGCTGACTCATTTTGAATGGAACGTAGCAGAATTTCTGCAATTGTTCACTGATTGCTTTGGTGGCGATCTCATGATCTCAAAATGTACTTTCTGGTGCACTATCCACGTCTTATTCGACAACTTGTTCCCTCGAGAAATTTTGGGTCATGAGGTTAGAATCAAGGCATTTCCTTCTCAAGAAGTTCGCTTCCCGTATTCAAAATTTGTATCTCTCACTGGCTCACTTTGTTAGAGGGCATTGATCAATGCAATTGCCTGAGTTCAAAGAGAAGTCTCACGGAAGGAGTAATACCCTTGACTAACCTATGACTCATAAATCTCTCATAAATCTCATAAATAAATCTCTCTCCTTCACTAACTTGTCAGAAAGGGTCTTCTATCTTAGTATCTTCTAGTGCAGGGGTGGGCAAACTACGGCCCCGGGCCGAATGCGACCCGCGGCAGCATTTCGAACTGCCCGCCAGCTGTTGCCCTGCAGCAACGAAATACAGCCCCCAGTCACAACTCAGACATCCATCCCATCATGACTAAATGGACCCTTTCAAGGGATCAAATGTTACAGCTCCTTCCAATTATCCAGGCGACTGACATCGCAAAGGCGGGCAAGGGATCTCAAGGCGCGACAGTAGGAAACTTTTCGAGCTTGAAGATAATCGGGAGGACAACTAAACTGCTGTGGCCCGCGAAGTCTTTTGTGCTTTCTCGCGAGGCCCGTAAATTAAAATGTTTGCTCACCCTGTTCCAGTGCATGCTTCGCAGCTAGACATTGTGGAAATCTTCCTGTAAAGAACCCTCGTGAGACGATTTGGCTCGAACGGTTACTCTTAGATCAGATATATTATCTAGGTTCGGACTTCTCTGCTGGGGTTCTTAGACATCAAGGAACGTGATCTAGTTGTCAGGTTCTATCTTCCCCAGCATGCCAGGTTTTGGACTTGGAAATAAAGGCATGAATGAATTGGTTTCTAACCCCGAGTCCCCAACTACAACAGCGAAGCCCCCCCCCCCCCCCCCCCCCCCATATCCTAACCATTCCTATGCTTATGGAATACTGAATTTGATGAATAACTGGCTGTTTGGGAGGGAGCAGAGAGTAATTATAAATCTAGATGCGTCATCAGAAGTTGGGATGTTGAGCAGAGACATCAGGGCTCCGCCCTGAGACAACTTCATGTTTTACTTTAATGACTTAATCACGGGTTAGCGGAAAAACTTAAAGTTTCAGAAAATATGGTGTTTTATAGGTTTTCCTATCCGTATTCTGCCAATTGAACGAGGGGAATCCTCTCGAAAGCCTCATGAAAGCTTCAGTTGCGGATTATTTTCCTTGTTGAGGAGTGACAGAATGGAATGTATGATATTAGGTGAAGATGTAATGGGTGCCTTTTCCGTTGCCAGCGTAAAGAAGTCTTTCTCCTTATGTCTTGTTAAGTCCATCGACCTCGCGAGGAAAAGACGTCTCTTCTGCTCGTTATCTTTGTTCGATTGGTTCACGAGAGAAGCATCATCGGCACCCAGTGGCTCTCAATTAGTTTCAACGCCATCGCAGATACTTCGTAGGGCTTCATTTGGTATCCTGAGAAAAGTGGGATAGCGAGATATGCTCCATCACTATTGACTCCGCTTTACTGCGCTCTGATGACTCGCAAACAGAATACTGACAGCACGCCTCTACTGTTCGAATTAATGGTGGACTTTCTCTGGTATAAAGGCTTGATGCCGTCATCAAAAAAGAGGGGGACAATAATACTACAAGCAACTAAGCCCCTACATTTACACAATTCTGCCAAAGACACCTGACCACGGTGAGGTAAACTCATAAAGGGAAGAGAAAGCGCTCGACCGAGACTGGATCAAAATGCCTCCAGATATCCAACTTTTACGTTAAAACCTTAATATTTGAACCTCTACCTTGGATGTTGCGGGCCAATATTGGGAAATAGGGAGCTTTGGGAGTTTTTTTTCTTGTTTTTATGTTTCTGTCCCCTTTTTCCCCCCTTTTTGATTTTTCCCCTTTTTTGTTTTCACCATTATTCACTTGTTTACGTAGTGGGCTAAATAGCAATAAAAAATTGTTTGAAAAAAAAAGAGCTTTGGGAACTACGGAGATAGGCTGACTGTCCAACCATCAGTTGAGAGCCAATAAGTGAAAAGAGTTGGAAACTCCACCCATTTGGAGGTGGGAAAAGTGTGGAACTTCGGGTGTTCCACGATGATCCTTTCCACTTCTATGGTCCCTACTTGGTCGTGTTAGCTGGGAGTCGTCTCTTACGGAATAAGCTCATTGCTAATTAAATATAGTGTTTTGCTGAGATAGCCCGTGATCGACTGCCGCAAATGGAAGAGTACTGAATCACGTTTCTCCATTCTCTCTTTTGCTTCGTTTCCCTCTCATCCCTTCCTCTGTGCCATAATTGAATGACTTGATCAGCTCCGTGTTATTCCTCGAGGAAATGGGATATCGAATTATCCGCTTGTTTTCAATGTCCGGACGAGACTCCATTTCTGACTTCCCACGCCAATATCGGAAACTATCCACTTCCATGACATATATTGACATTTCATTTCCATAAACGAACACAAGAATAAATCTTGAAGGACGTCTATCGAACATAATTGCCGAGTCCGTCACTGCAGGGTAATGCAGGTTGATATCCCGGTATTCGTTATCAAATGCGATGAAACAGATGACAAAAGATGATGAAGAAGAAGAAGATACTGATGAGAATGCCGTCGCCGTCTCATCAGCGCTTTTTCCTCCTACCCAACCCTTTCCAGAGGAAAACAGGATCGTAGTTAAACCTTGACATGGCTCTCTCGGACAAAGACTTCTGCCTTGGAACTTGCGAAAGTCCTCCCAGTCCTGTATAAAATAGTCAGACATTGCCTGATATCAACGTTCAGTTAATAAAAGAAAACAATGCATCTTAATCAGGCTACAGAGAAGTCATGTAACGGGACTCACGTGAAGCCTCGGAAAGTTCTTCATTTCCCATCGATTCCTCAGACTCGAAAAGGGCCTTCTTCAATTTTCCGAAGAAGTCATCCATATTGGACAATGCACCTGCAAATGTCAGAAGAATCGGACGTTCTTTTTCCTTCTTACAAGAGGGCAACGAGGAGAGGGATGGAAGAAAAGAAGGAAAAAAAAGTATCACTGACGAGGGGCGAATGAGGGGATTGGGACTGCAGGGGTCTTGATGCGATTTACAAGGGAGGGAATGATTACTAAAAGGCCCGAATCCCCCGAGACGTCCACATCTGGGAATACATTTTCTCTTGACATGCAGATGTAGTAACTAAGAGAGAATGAAAAATGGAGCTAGGTTTCCCTTCACTCAGACTTTCACTACCTGTTTCTCGTCAAGAATTAGAGGTCGGCACCAACCACGTTGGTGAACTCCCTTCGGTTTTCCAAGTTAAACACCAAGTGCTGATTCTGCGTAGAAAAGATTGTATTCGAGTTCGGCTTGGGTTCTAAATATTTCAAGTGCAGAAAGTTCAATTTCGATGCAGGTTCTAGGGACTGTGGTCCGGCTTTCTTTCTCATTTAGCTAAGCTAGATGAGACGCTGAGATGAGAAAGCTAAGACGTAGTGGCGAGAAATAGACGGACATATACGATGCAGACCTGGTTAACATTTTATTTGAATTTAGACTGACCTCACCTCAAATTTAATTTCGGCGTTGTCGCTGTCGGTTTTGGTTGAAAAATAGTCGAAACGAGATTATGAAGAACGTCTGTCCAGTAGCACAGTGAGGGGTTCTCCCCTCTTCCCCCAATTCTGGTCTAATGCATCCACCACCCCATGAAAATATTTTTGGTATGTTAGTAGGGGGCTAGGGAAATCGAGACATCCCCCCTCTCCTCTGTGAAATCCTGGATGCGTCCGTCAGATTCCAGTTGCAAGAGAGTGCCTTCATTTTCCGTCCGATTCCTGTCTGACGTGTGTCAGATTGGAGTCACTGCCGAGAACATTTTGTCGCAACTCCACTCTGAAGTCCTGAATACACCTGAATAGAAATTTAGCTGAAATAGAATTAGACCTTAGGGATTCGGATGCAGTCCCAAGGCAATCCAATTGCAAATTTTAATTAGCTTGAGATCAAAGTTTTGGGAATGGTGAGAAACGGATCTCTTGTTTCCCTTTTGGTGCAATATTGCACATGCTAAATTGTATGGGCGGATGAGAGATAAAATAAACTCATTCCAGGCTATCTCACTGTGCGCTATGAACCAGAAAGATTCATCTGCTTGGCGAGTGCCTCCATGCTTCATTCTCCACCTATTCCAGGCTTGTGAAATACGCAGCAAAATCCCATTTAAAAATGCATTTTCCATGGAAATGTATAGGGGAACGACGGGTTATATTGACATGTCGGGTTATATGGATATCCTCTTGGAGCCCTTCAGGTTGCAACAGGCGCACTTGCAAAGCCATCACAATTTACGCAGGCGAATTCCGAATATGGAGGAATATGGAATATTAAATTGGAGGCGCCAACACCCTCCTGGAGATGAGGCTGTCAATCTCGTTTCCGTTTTTGCGCCTCTCTGTAACACACCCTCGAAGGGTCCGACCTACTGGACATATACACCCTGCAGGCTGGCCTCTTGGCAGCAGCAGCCAGCCGTACCTCTGGTGTCCAGCAGGGGAGTCCGCTTGGTGTTACCGCGTGCGACGCCAATTCGCTTTTCGCCTCATACTTTCACTGCTGCAGCCAAAAGGTTAGATGAACGTCAGATATCGGGAAGGCAATTGAGAATAGTTTTGCCGATCGCCCTTGTCAACGCGTACATTTTCTCATCTCGGAGGGCTTCCCACCTTTCCCACTTTGCAACACCTGTGAATTTCCGCCCTATTCTGAGGTTGGCTCATGTCTGGAATTTGCTAACCACTAGATAGTGTCCGGTGCTAAGTTCGACCCTACTCTCAATCCTGGTATCCGTTAGCAGGTTTCAAAAGTCAGCCGAAACGATCACATCGATCAGCAACTGCTGGCATGATTCAGGACCGGTCCCACTCTCGGACACCCTGTGCCAGGTATACTTATGGGTGTCCTTGTGACAGAAGAAAGTGTTGGTAATATAGTCAGCCCAATGTCAGCTGAAAAGCCTATTAACTTTCTGCCTTACTTATTGAGGGTGGCATCTCCAAAACGGTCTATGATCTCACTCCATGTAGCTCTCAGCAAGACGAGATCGGCTGGATCCCTTCTTGGGTCTCATCCAGTTCTTCGAGGTACGCGTCGTAGTTCATTTCGTAGACCTGAACGCCAGGCAAGAGCCCGTGATTCCCTCGTTGATCGGTTTCCATTCGATCACGTCGTCAGCCAGCCGGGATTAATACGATTTTCATTTGGGAGTTTATCGGATTAACAACTGGGAATATTTTAACGGGCCATATTCTGTCCTGCCACTTTCTATGCCCCTTTTGAAAGAAAGATTCAGCGCTTTGCAGTGAATTCGGAAGAGAGAAACGGACATTCAGAGTGAGATATTTGTGGTTGATAAGAATTAGATTAATTTTATTCATCGCTATTGAAGCTTTAATCTACTTATTCGTAGTCAGAGAAAAACCGAGCTAGCGAATGCAAGTCGTAGTTTGTTTCGTTCTTGTAAACGCATGGCGCCATGAACCATTCGATTTTCTAACACTTGTGTCAATGAAGCCTTCAATTCATGATCGCGTACGCTTTTTTGTCCTTGTCACGTCCATTCTTCTTTCATCCGTATTTTGATATTTCGCTACCAACGCGAGACGTGGTAGCACGCAACAATTATGCCAATAGGCAATGCCTGACCGAGTGGATGCAATTTCTTACCTAAAGAAACGCATTACACGAACCAGTCTCATTTCTCTCCGTGCATGAAAAATTTTCTCAAATTTATCCGAATGGCTTTCCTTGATTTTTTTCCTTCATACATTTGATTTAAAAAATTTTTCTTTATTTCGTTCATAAGTCATTCATTCATTCAGCTCTGTGACCGGAAGCATTTCCATGGGTGTCAACGCATGACCAATGTCTGACACGTTGAATGTTGCTCCTGCCGAGTCTTCAATAAAGATTCATAAAGATTCATTCATGCATTTTTTTTAATGGAATGACTGGAGAATAAAACTTGAAAACTTCGAAATGGGAGCTTCAGAAAGATGACCAACATCAAATGAAATCTAAAGCACCACTAGAAGAACGGACTGACACCGATCATGAAGACTAGCCTTGAGTTAATGTATTCTCTTTGAGCTGCTTATGGTCTTACACCCTCTTTACTCTTGGCTAAAGAGGATGGGCGGAAAACCAGGTCCTGAATGGCAGTTCTCGCCCCGTACATTGACGTAACTGGTACACAGTGATCTCAAATGCTCCTTTTTCTCCCCTTGGTCTACCTCCAATTTGATGAGATTATGCGAAGCATATTACCCGCATTTCACAACCAATCGTTCGAAAGTAGTGTTTCCTGTTGGTTAACCAACTACTGGGCTCCAGAAATTCACTCTTCAAGACTGATGAAGTCATTCATGTTGAAATGTTTGGAGCACATTCGTGCATTTGGAGGATGTAATGAAGGATCCGGGAGTCCTCGCTAAGTCACTGTCTTCGAAAGCTTTGAACCTGACAGCGCCGCATTTAGACGATACCCTGTGCAAGCATGAAGGAATGGAATGGAACAGTTTGGCACTGGAAAAGCACCTTGTTGCTTCAAATTATGTTACGGTCATGCCGTCCCTCCTTTAGTTAAGGTGAAAAAGGAAGTAGAAAGTAGAACTTTCCACATCCTTTTTTCACCTAAACTTCATGCCCGAGAAGAGACTCAGGGAACACCTAATAGAGAGGCATGACATAACTACTTGTAACCGTAAATTTCCCTGTCTTCGTCTCAGCGAAAAAAATCACCAGTCTTTTAATCGAGTTTTAAATACTCAGTTTAAAGGGGATTCTCGTCATTCGTCAATTTTCGTGATTTCGTCATGCGATTCAAATGTTATTCAAATGCTTCGTCGTCCTAGTCATTTCTTCTTGTGCTTGGCTGATACTGGTCAGTTATATATTTCATTTTGACACCGCCCATGTACAGCATTTTCTTTATTTCGTCACCTTCCCGTTCGTATATTTTAAAACATTTTCACCATTTCGTCTACTCGACGAAATGGTGAAAAGTCGAGTAGACAGCATTCATTTCTTATTACTCAAGATATGCAATGTCCAATTGCTTGACGGCTGAATCACATATTGTTTCAAATCATTTTGGAACCCGAGCATGTAAGGATTTTCTTCATCGTTACTTTGACTGTAAGTTCACGGTAAATTTCTAGACATGAAAATGTCCATACAAATATCCTGAAGATGCATCAATAGTAAATAATCTCGTGATGTGTACGGTAATCATATTGTAGATCGCGAGCATTCATCAGATTTGGTTGTCGCGGTAGTAATGAGCGGATCAGATTGAATTTAAGATCTGAGGCGTGTAAGAGGGACACAAACGGAAGAGAGGCTGCTGTCTTACGAGAGAAATCCCATCTGCCTCGATGATGAAGCTAGCTGAACCAAGTTCACGAGGGTAAAAAAACCTTGTTTTCACGCATTTGCTTAAGTCACCCAATCCCACAGCTTCAACATTTCTTGGAGCACTACTATGACTCTAATGACTCAGGATTCGGTCAAAAAGTGGCTAAAGTGTCGTTGTTACTTTTAAAATACCGCCTTTTGATATCGGCCAAGCAATTTAATAAGGGAAAGACACTCAGATCTCCATTTGGGAGCGTGACCTTATTTATAATGGCACTTCTCCGGAGACATCATGCTAACTTATAAAGAACGAGTATATCCTGTCAGTGTGTCCGCAATATCATCCCTCTTTCCTTTTACTACTTGACAATTTAACATGATACAATTATGTCTCTACTTACTTCCAGTCACTTAAACTGCTAACGATGCTTTCGAATTTGCACTAGTGTAAACCCCTTGAGATCAATTTAACAACCCATAATAAAGTATAGGAAATCCCCTTAACTTGACACCGAACTGGGATCGAGAAGACATTTCGTATTTAATCCGGTGTTACACGGACACGAAACACCGGGAAAACATGGTGTCACACTAACACCGTAGGGTGAGTTCA